TTTGACGGGGGCACAATGACATTGGGAGTTCAATCTCTAAGATTACTTGTGATGAGGGACGGATGTTGGGCCAATTATTGACTAACTCATCCAAGGGGGTAACTACAATGTTTGTTAATTCCTTTTGGAGTTGAAGTATTTTAGTCCGATTAACCTGATCAATACCATCCTTTTCCGCCGTAGCTAATAAGGTAAGCAATTCGGTAAAATCTCTCTGAAGCTTTCCGTATTCTTGGTTTTTTGAATCGGTACTGGGCGTTGGGTGTAATCTATTGGCGATTCTAATTAACTGGGCTATCCTTAGTATAATGGTAACGATTATTTGCTTAAGTCCGACAGCGATATTTGATATTGCGTTGTGTTGTGGGACATGGGATGTTTTGTTTGGGGCGTTATCTTCCGGCATGGGGTCGGCCATGATCTCATCATCATCATCAAGCAATGGTTCTATTGGTTCAATTTCAGGGTTAGGTACTTCTACTTCATTAATAACTACAGCTTGCTCTTCGTTTTCTTGTGGGATCGGAATATCATTGTTGGGTTGTTGCTGTTCCGTATTTAAGTTACTCACGGTACCCGGTGCTGTGGCATTCTTGGGTCTCCCTGGACGGCGAGTCATGATGATAGATGAGTTGTAACCCTTTGAGGCACTTTTCGCGTATCGAAGAGCAATTTGACGTTAATATTAACGTTTATTTTAAGCCTTGGAATTAAATTGGTTTTACGTTGTTGGGGAAGAATTACTGGAACCTTTCTAAGTTTGTAAATTAGAAGACAAATCTTTAACTTAACTACGCTCTGCTACCAATTTTGTGATGGAAAGTAAATCACAAAGATGAAAAGGATAAAAAAATGAATACAAGACTCAATCCGCCCGGGAACAGGGCAGGGGATTCTCAGCAGAATCCCAAAAGAGAAACAGAATAATATATTTCAAGAGAAGAGACTTTCAAAATTCGAAAATAATCGCAATCAGAAATTTCGCAACAGAACACAACAGAAGTGCACACTTCGAGACGAACGAGCAGACTGTAAAGAAAATAGTTTAGAAAATGGACGGGTGGATTTTCATTGCGCAATCGGGAAATCCGAACAGGATTTCCCGTTGCGGGATTTTTTGCTCAGCGGCAGCGTTATTTTATTAATTTATATAACGGGTATTGCGGGACGACTATCCCTTACAGTAATCCTAATGTACATATTTTCCAGGAATCATATCGAAAAAAAAAAGTAGGAGTTGAATGATTTCCCGTGGGGTTCAAAGGAATCGCCAATGAGCAAATGGATAAAGCAGGGAAATGATTCCTACGTAAAAAATTTCGTAATCGAAAGCCCGAACATTTTACTCTGAAATGTCGGATAGGTGTCACTTTGATTACTAATCTCACCAACAACACCTGAATTGGAAGTTTGAATATTTTGGATTTTTGAGATTGCTGAAACTCTTCAATCGAAATACCGGACTTGATAGTTCGGCATATACAAAAGATGGAAAACGTACCGATTTTCCACTGACGATGCATGAGTTCATTGCGCCAGTTTCCCTCAAAGCTTGTAACTTGCACTTGATCAGCTCCGTGGGACACAAAGTGAATGAACAAAAAAACGCTGCAGCTGATCCGCATAACGCACTGGCAAGGTTGGGCAATTCTTTGACGGACTGCAGGGGATAAGAATAATGCGCAGACGAGTGTAAAGACACGATTTCGCACAAACGACTGAATCAAGGTAAAGAGTAAAAAAAATAATGGCCCACCAGATATTGTACGTCGCGCATAACGAACCCATGCTTCCATCGAATTTGTTGCCTACGTGCACATAAACGCATACAGCATGAAACGTGAGTAGCCTTAAAGAAAATCGAAACTGCAGTGGGAAATTCGGGATAATTTTTCAAGTTGATGATTCTTTTCTTGAGTGCTTACAGGTAGCCCCTTTCTAAAATTATCTCGTCCAAAACAATTTTTTCTGCACAACGATTTTGTTGTTCACACTCAAGTCTCTACCCAAATTATAGATGAGGTTCTGTACAACGAAATTCTCGCTACAAAGATGTTTTTTCTGGTCCACCCCCCCCCCCCCCTTAACTTTGTCGTAGAGAGAGATTCCAGCTGTATTTTTCCGGGAGTCCACGCATTGCAGCTTCAACTAAATAAATAAAATTCCGCATAACGGACTTCCCTTTAGAGTTATATAGGAGTTATTCAAGTCTATTAACCGAGGCACCGCTGTATCAGAAAAACAAATGAAAGAAAATTGAAGAACAACGCACAGGGACACCAGTGAGGTTCACAGCAAGCTTCTGCAGAGTCCCGTAGGCAGCGAAGAGGACTGAGTTTTCGGCAACGTTAGCAGCAACAGCCGGCAATGTTCCAGCATAGAGTCCGCG